GAACCAGGTGGGCTTCAGTCCAGGAAGAGGGTGTACTGACCGTATGCTCACCCTTCGACAGATTCTGGAACATAGACATACCGTCGGCGTCTGACAATCATTATATTTCTTGACCTAAAGGCGGTGTTCAATTCTGCTTATTGGGAGGTACTATGGATATGTTTGGCTCTGAAGGGAATGCCGAGAAAATACAGTGCAATGATCAAGTTACTCTACTCAAACTCATACATTTAGGTGTGAGCCTATAGACAGTTGTCATCTGAGGTGGTGACAACCGATGGTGTTTGTCAGGAATCCCCTGCCGATTATCCCCATTTCTGTTTAATTTCATCATAGATGTACTAATGGAATTATGCCTAACTGACTTCAGAGAATCAGGGATTGACTTGTTTTTTTTCCTTCACGTTCCCCAGTGGAACATGAGGCTTCAAGCTAGTGGCTTGGAGTTTCTGTAGCAGTGTTTATTTTTTCAGGATGGGGTTGCTAGCCTCATGCCCGACCTTTCCTCTTAGCCAGCATTATTTCTGGCTCAGCAAGGTAAAGGAGTGCGTCCGTGGCCGGGGATCGAACCCCGGGCCATGTGCATGGTCGGCGAGCGTCCTAACCACTATACCAATTGGTTTGTTACCAGGGAATAATCTTGTTGACTTAGAGTATGCAAATGATATTGTCCTCCCTCCCAGGTGAATACACTGATGAATTGCAGAGCCTTCTGAACACCTTTAGCTGGACAGCAATCTTCGAATGTTTGGCATGCGATTCGCTCCCTTTGTCAAATGTAAGATGATGCTACAGGACTGGATTGGACTGTACCCACTTTTAGGTGAAAGATAGGCAGGAGCAAAGTGGCTGGTGGAGCGTGTTGACCATTTCAGTTATTTGGAAAGTTTTGTCAGCCAACGCCAACGGGTTGATCTCTGACGAAATGTCAACATGGGTACAGGAGGCTTGTCTGTCATTCTCAAAAATACGCCATCTTTCGCTTAGTAGACGTGATATTCGGCTGGCTGGTTGACTGTTGACCAAAGCGCATGTGTACTGCTCAGTTGTTTGCTCGGTTGTCCTTTATGCCTGTCAATTAGGCATGGTCAATGAAAGTCTGAGGCATGAAAAGCCAGGCTAGTTGTCTTTGATCACAGGTAGCTACGTTCTATCTCCCATGTTTAGTGGTATAATAAAGTGAGTGATATTAAGGTTAGGCTTCGGTCAAGCGCCGGGTAAGGAGGGAAGGGAAGTCAATCGACGAGGTAGGGAAGTTACATCGATTGAGATGGTTCGGACATGTGTTACGCATGCATTCCTAGTCATCGTTTTCCTCGATGGACAGTTGGAAAACAGCCAGTGGTGGTCAAGTTAAAACATCTCTTCATCAGTCAATGAAATCCACAACAGTTAGTTTAAACCAACCAGCTAACCACGTAGGGAGATTTAGACTTCTTGGCTGGTTGGCGTCATCAGTATGGTTAAAACCAATGGAGGCTGGAAACAATTGGTGAAAGGGCTCAAAATCATCGTTCTCAATGGCTGGCGCAGATGCATCCACTCCGTATGATTAGTAACATCCAGTTAAATTATATTGTCCTTCCATATTACTCTCCTTTTTGCGTCACTCATATTTCTTATTATTATTAATGTAATAATTAATTTCAAATGAACTGTAGTCAAGATTTGACAGAATAGTTCTAAAATATTTGGGCGCCGAGTGAGAAGTAGACATTTGTAAAAAATTATATTTGTAAAATCTCAGCGATATTGAAATGAGTAATTCCAACGTTTCGTTCGGCAATCTGGTCCGAACTTCTTCAGGGAAATTAATCGAAATTAACATAACAGAGGTTTATATATAAAAGGAACATCTCTTTTTTTTACAAATGTCTAATAATTAATTTATTTATCATTAATTTATTAATCAGTCTTTTATACGCTCTCCTTCGACTATAATTACTTCTAGTGTTCCAAATCATGCAGTTGATAACTTTCATGACTTTAATACTCTTGATGTTCTAAAATGTCTTAAAATGCTTAAACCCTCATGTAGCCTTGGCCCTGATGGTGTACCTGCATATGTTCTACAACAATGTGCAGATGCTTTATGTTCTCCACTTACTAACATCCTAAACGTTTCTTTTTCCAAAAACGTTGTACCTGTCTCATGGAAAGACATTAAAATAATCCCTGTCCCTAAACCTGGAAATAGCAAGAATGTAAAATTCGGACCCATTGCCATCACTTCCCCGTTTCTAAAGCTCATGGAAAAACCAGTACTTCTTAAACTTGAACCTCCCTTAAAAGCTTTGAAGACCCCAAACAATTTTCCTACAGACAGGGTAGGAGTACTTTAAACGCTGCAGCCGTCTTACACAACAGTATCGTCTGAACATTAGATAAAGGTGCCAAATACGTCCGCTGCACGTTTCTTGACTTCACTTCTGCTCTTGACTCTGTACCTAGATGTCTCTTGCTAAATAAGCTCTCCATGACACAAACCGAGTCCTGGGTCACTAACTGGTTGCATTCCTACTTTTCAAACAGAACGCAGTACACCGTATACAAAGGTGAATCCTCCTCTGCTGTGCTCACTGAAGCTGGTGTCCCCTAAGGTGCTGTACTCTCCCCACTTCTCTTTTCCTTCTTTCTACATGACCTACCGTCTTCAAATGACATTAACTTTGTCAAATATGCTGATGACCTAACTGTATCTTTACCTGTCAAATGTCAAAGTGACTGCTCTAAACTAAATGGCTTTTTATCAGAAATCAGCCAATGGTCCAAGGAAAACGGTCTCACCTTAAACCCCTCCAAATGCCAAACAGTTAATTTCACCTTTAGGCACAAATCTGACCTAAACAAACTGGTTAGCACTCACGAGGTGTGCAACATAGACGGCACTGAAATAGAAAACAAGTCGGAAATTAAATATCTTGGCGTCATTCTATCTGCTGAACTTTTCTGGTCGTCTCATATCTTCATGATTTCTAAGAAAATATTCCGTCTTACCTTCTACATCAAGAAGTTAAGACATTCCGGTATAATTCAACCCTTAATCCTACAATTCGTTAACTCTCGCATTCTGCGTATTATTCTCTATTATTCCTCCTTAGTTTTTCCTGGGCTATTGAAGAAAGGCGATACCTTATTACGCAGGATGTTGAATGTTGTCAGCAGGGTAAGCAACGTGCCACTTAACTAGCTTGTTAATATACTGGTTGATAGGCACTTGGACTCACGTGAAAAATGGGCGAAATCCATTTTATCTATCTAACTTACACCACCCTCTTCATTCACAACTCTCCCCTTGTATTTCATCAGACAGAACCAGAAGCCTATATAGAAAACTATATGTTCGCCCTAGCAAGTACAAAAACTCAACCATACCCTACTTAGCTCGTGTTCTGTGCGATAAAGAAAGCATCAGGCGTGATACCTATAACTTATTAAATAGTCAGTAGAACAACTGGATCTCGTCTTTCCAACTCATATCATTTATAGGTACAACGTTTTCCTTCTTTCTTTTCCTTTTCTCTCTTTCTCTTTTTTCTTTAATGTGCAGCTTTGTTTCTTTCTTCCTTACTAATTCTATTAAAACATTCTTCGTTCTCTCACACTCTGTATATCTCCACCTTTTTGTTACCGCTTACGCCAGTAAATATGCTAGCACCTACTTTCCTAACACCCTCAAACACTCTATTCAATTTCGGCTATGCTACTGACATGCCAATATGTTGTTGTCAAAACTAACTGAGATTACTCTAAATCTATGTAGAATTTTATTTATTGTCAGTGTACAAACTGGATTCCATACTGTAGTGAAATGCTGAGAATTCCATTCTGTATCACAAGTACTGTTTTGGAATAAAACAAATTATTATTATTGTCTCTGTCCAGTGCGTCGGCGGTATGGTGGTTAGGACGCTCGCCGACCATGCACATGGTCCGGGGTTCGATCCCCAGCCACGGACGCACTCCTTTACCTCGCTGAGCCAGAAATAATGTTGGCTAAGAGGAAAGGTCGGGCATGAGGCTAGCAACCCCATCCTGTAAAAAATAAACACAGCTACAGAAACTCCAAGCCACTAGCTTGAAGTAGCCCTATGTTCCACTGGGGAACGTGAAGGAAAAAAATTAGGAAACATTAACTCTGTCTTCTCTCTTCTCATGCTTTGTGTGTTACATGGAGGGGGGAGTGTGGGAACTCGAACTGTTGCACATGTATGCAAAGTTCTACATTGAATCCAGTCAGTCAATCAGTCAAGTAGTCCACCTCTGTTAACATTCAAAAATGTAAAAACACACACACACAGAGAGCTTGAAAAAACTTTCAACTTAGTCAAACCATGAGTCACTCACTTTAACAATTTATTACAGAAAATATTGTCGACCGACTACTAGATCGACAACCGAAGGATTATCAGACAATCGTTACGCATATATAGAGATCATCTGGCCATCAAAGATTATCACAACATGAATCACGTTGTTTTAAGTCAATCGACTAAGCTGATCTCACGTCTTCAATTTTAACAATTTATTAATAATAATAATTTTATTTATGTTTTCAATACAATTAGAACTGTCAATTTTTAGTTAAATATAAATTATTATATTATGAAGTATAATTTTTCAAATGTTTCAACATTAAAAAAAGCACACAATCATTTTTGAACATTGAATAACTTTGGTATAATTGAATATTGAACACTATGCGTGTATACACACTCACAGGCACACAGGCACACATGCAGATAAACAATACAGTTTAGTTCTCATGACATTTTAGGAAGTCATGGTTATTATTATTATTATTAATAAAAAGTACTCTTGGTGTCAATATTTATAATAATGGTCACATCAGTAATAATATTAGTATTAGTATTAATATTAGTATTAAAATCATAATGGATGCTAGTGAAATTAGGTCAGACAGTATCAAAAAACGAATAATAATAATGATAATATTATAACATAATAGATACATAAATGAGTGACAAAAGTTTACAGAATAATGTAACAACGTCTTATTCTCCGTCAATATGATTGAATAAGATCACCGTGCGCACGCACAACACACCTAAAAAGACAGATACACATACGCTGAATATATATATATATATATATGCATGTATATACCAGAACTTTTCATATCACTATGCTGGGTTCCACAATCTATCCCTTTCGCAAGATGATATTACCATCATTATTATTATTCCTGTTATACACATTATCAATACATGTACAATGTAGCACAGAAACCACTGAATCCTATTCTACAACACCTTCTACAGATGCCATCAAGACAACGTCAGTCATTGAGGTAGATGACATTGCATCAACTACACCTACAACCACAACTACAACTACCACAGAGAATTCTGAAAATGTAGCCACTCTACTACCAAAAATTCATAACACTCCAGTGAATGTCACATATGTTATCCTACCGAGTGAATTATACTTAGGTCAAAGAAATTTGATTACTGTACGAAGTCGTCAACCAAAAACTAAACTCATGATTTCAATGAATGTAACAGGATTGTCAGAAACAATTAAAGATTCACGCGTTTACAAGTTACATCGATTGAATATATCTCAAAGGTGGTATGGTTTGGATATCCCGTATGAAATCCCATTCATTTTTGATCATGAAGAATCGATTTGGGTTAAAATGATATTTAATTTTACGCATTGTTATAAGAATGATGAAAGTGAACGGGCTGATGATATCGATGATAATGACAATGGCGCCGATGACAAAGGCGACAAGGACAACGGCGATGATGACGATGATGATGATGATGATGATGGCGATGATGTTGACCGGTGTGCCAAATACAAAGTTACTCAAGTCGTAGAGTCTGTCCAACTGAAGCAATTACCAATTATTATCATTGGTGAAACTGATAAGCCATTGTATAGACCCGGTGAGTCTGTTAATTTTCGATATCTAGCGTTAAATGTGAATAGCTTATCCCCAAAATCAATTACTGCTCCATTACCTAAGAAAAAGCTTATAGTCAAGAAAAAATCCCAGTTTCAATTAAAAGATATTAATCGTTATGATTTATCTAAATTAGAAAATATCATTTATAAAGAAATCTATATCACTGATCCTATGGATAATCGTGTTAAACAATGGTTAAATATATCGCCGAAAAAAGCTTTAAATTTAACTTACCCGCTACTAAATAAAGCTGTTGAAGGTAAATGGAAAATACACGGTGTAATTGGACGTCATGTAAAAAAAGAAACACTCGAGTTCACCGTGAAGCAATATACCCTTCCAAAGTTCACTGTGTCATTAGAAACTCCAAAAATTTTTAATCTTCACTCTGAGTATGTTCAATATTCAATCTGCGCAAAGTATACAAATGGACCAGCATTAAAAGGTCATGTAAAATCAATACTTTGTGCTTGTTCTGAATATGCCTGGGATAATGAATATTATACGGGAAATGATGAAAAAACCGTTGAATCACTTGTAATAACGCGTAAATGTCCATCGAATGGTTATGAAGTAAAACTTCGACCATGTATAATACATAATCAAGCCTTACAGGCAGATGGTTGCGCAAATTTCAATGTCTCCACTAAAGAATTCGCTTTGCCTACAGATAAATATTCAAAATGGAATCAAATAAGTATTTTGTGCGCTCATGTTGAAGAAGACAGTACTGGTTCTAAGCTATACAATTGTTTAAAAGGTGATGAAATCAAAAGTGATCAAGCAAATTTGAAGTTGGAATTCCCGAGTGTATATAAATCAAAACTGCCAATCACTGGGAGGGTGAAATTATCAAACTATGCCAAGAATATAAACTATAGTGTGAAGATATCTGTCTCCGAACAGAAATGGGGTTGTTATTGGAGAGGTAGCGCCAAAGGCACAGAATATTACATAAATACTATCCCAGTCAGTTCATTAGAAGACGGAGTGATTCATATACCTCCGCTTCACTCTGAAAATTCAATATTAATTGAAGCTGAGTTGTTGTCACCTTCTGGAGTGCCATTACCACCATCATCATTATCCCCAGTAGAATCGACCTCCAAAGATGCAAGTGAAAGTAGTCCAGAACAATTGAATAACAACTATTTCTGGCCTGGTAAACCTTGGTCACCAAATGATAATCCAGTCACTGATAGCGTAACATTAAGATCATGGGATTCCGTTAGTAAAGTTTACCTACAAATATGGCCAGCTCAAGATAAAATTGTGACAACATGCCCCAATACAGTCAAATTACTTCTGTTATCCAATATACGTCTATCAGACAAAATTATTTTTATCGAATCAATGATAAGAGGTGAACACATGAAGATTATGATCCCAGCAGCTGATAAAATGCTGGTTGACAACCACATCACCGACGATTGTGTTGATCGTGATGATGAATTAGGACATTATGAGTGTACGGGTGAAAATCCAGAGGAAATTCAATGTTTACCAGGTTGGCAAGGTGAAAATTGTCTAGTGCCTATTTGTTCTTCACAGTGTAATCCTAAAGGTGGTTTGTGTATCAAACCTGGTGACTGTCAGTGTAAATCAGGATGGAGTGGTGCTAACTGTGATCAGTGTGTTCAGCGTGAAAATTGTTTACACGGCAAATGTATTGAAGGGAATGATTGTGTCTGTGATGATGGATGGACTGGTTATAGTTGTGATCGTAAAACTGTCATTTACAAAGAAATTTCAGAAGAAGCTAATGAAACAATTACGACAGAAAGTGTCATGGAGGTGAAATCAACTGATGAATTGGAAAATTCTTTCACTTCTACGCCTCCATCAACAGATTCACCACAAATCAATACGAAACCAGTTAGAACATTTTATCAACGACGCATAGAGTTTCCAATTAATGGATCCTGGGGACCAAGATTCACGGCTATAATTTATATTCATCATCAACAAGATAACGCGTCACCTGAGATCATTGCAACTCAATTAACTGTGGAACAAATTGAAAATTGTACAAGTAATGCAATTGCCCTACAATCGAAGTCGCATAAAAGTAGTATAGAATTTAGTCAAAATGTTGCAGATCCTGGTGAGAAAATTGAAATGACCATTACTCCTCAAGGTGTACTATCACCATCAGCATTATCGTCGATAGATCAAGAAACCAGCTGTTATAATACATCAGGAAAACTATGTAAAACTAAAGGTCAACTGTCAAATGAATTGTGCTTCATTCGAATCTCTGACACATCACTAGATAACTTTCAAGGAGATAAAAATTTGATTAATTTAAAATCTTTCACTGAAAAATTAATTGATTATGCTATGCATAGTGAATATCGACCGTCTATAGCTGCTTCAACACAAGAAGCATTTCAAGCTGCTGGTTTTCAAATTGGTTCAACATATCCACAACCAATGTTTGTGCATCAGTTATACGCCTGTCCCCAGTTTTCATATTCAGGTGTTGCAGTTGTTCTTGCCGACAGTGAAGTGAATAATAACAACGCTGTTCCACAACCACTTCCATTGTTAAGAAATACCAATGTACCACTAGTAAAACCACGACTAAGGGACTTCTTTCCTGAAGTCTGGTTATTTCAAGTGTTACCAATCACTGACCTACAAATCAGTGATCAGGTTGACGAAAAGGCTAAGAAGATAGATATCAGTGGAATCAATGAATCAAGGGGTATAAAATTAAATCTTACAGTACCAGATACTATAACAAGTTGGAGGGCATCAGCGTATTGTACAACAAAATTGAATGGCCTGTGGTTTGGTGAACCACAAACAATAACTGTAAATATGCCGTTCTATTTGGAAATAACACCACCCAAAGAAATGAAACGTGGTGAAATTTTGCATATCCCTGTAAGTATGTTTATTTTGGATAGAAAATATTTACAAAAACCGGAAAATTTCAACTTCTCTGAATGTTATGATGTCCTCCTTGATGTACAGGTGAACAATGATGACTGGTTAGTTGTCGGTGCAACTAAACACTCTGCTTGTTTGTGTTCTGGTGATAAGGCGACCTATCTTGTTGGATTACAGGCAAAACGTTTAGGTAAGCTAAATATTACTGCTGAAGCGTTGGCCATTAAAAATAGTCAGTCATGTCAATCTATACAACATAGCGACCTCCAGTTGGATATTTCAAAGCGGAAAAGATTTCAATCAAAGTCGCTGACTGATAAAATTCGTCGTCATGTCAATGTGATCCCGGAAGGTGTTCAACATGAAACAACTATCAGTGATATTATATGTTTGAATGAACAAGAAACTCAGTCAGAGCGTGAGTTTGAATTCGTTTTACCTAAAAATATGATTAAGGACTCTTTAAACAGTTATATATCATATAGTGATGAAGTATTAGGACCTGCTTTGGTCAATTTAGACAAACTTGTACGTCTACCTACTGGTTGTGGAGAACAGAATATGGTATTGGTAGCACCTAATGTTTACATATTAGACTATTTGAAATCTACACCAAGTATCAACTCTAATGAAAATAAAGGCAACTATATACAAACAGCTAAATCACACATTGTATCAGGTTATATTCAACAGTTGAAGTATCAACGAGATGATGGATCATTTTCTGCTTTTGGTAAATCAGACAAAGAGGGCAGTACATGGTTGACAGCATTTGTAATACGTGTATTTGCTAAAGCCTATAAACTTGAGCCAACTTTAAGCATTGAATGGGAGAATTTATTCACCAATGGGATACACTTCTTGATAACACGTCAAAATAATGAAAGTGGATGTTTTGAAGAGCATGGAAAAGTTTTATATTCCCCATTACAAGGTATAAGCGGCATAGATGAATCCAATTGAAGGATATTCTACTGACTAGCTTTGTTAGTTCAGCACTGTTTGAAACACGACCAAATGATGCTGGTAATAAACTGAATATTAAGTATACTAGTAACGCTGAAGAGGCATACAACAATGGACTGAAATGTTTAACTCAATATCTTGTAAATCTTGAATCGTATGATGAATTGCCGACATCAGCGCTTGTACAAATCACTCACACTTATACACTAATTCAACCGAATTCTCAACTAACCACTGATTTACAAGATGTTGTCATCAAAAGGAAACAAGTGATTCAAGATCAATTCGGTGAGAAGATCTACTGGTCTGATAGATTTGATAAAGTTGAAACGAATACAACAAGCTGTAATTCAACAACACAGAATACATTTATTAATAATAATCATAATATTGACAACATTGAACCACGTGATTTAGAATCGACAGCTTATGCTTTTCTAAGTTTAAATCGAATGAATCAAACAGTGAATCAGTTATTCCCAATTATACGTTGGATAAGTTCAAAACAAAAGTCAAACGGTGGTTTTTACTCTACACAAGATACCGTACTTGGACTGGAAGCCATCGCTGAATTTGCTAAAAGATTAGGCGTCTACAATAATGACAATAATACAAATTCATCCTATGGTGTTCTACAGATATCAAATCATGTAAATATTGACAGCTTTAAATTGAATGATACAATAACCTTGGAGAAACGACAAGTTATCAATCAGATTGAATTACCAAATCTTGAATTCAAGCATGCTAATGACGCTGAGGATAAAGTGATCCATTCTGTTTGGAAATTAACAAGTAATCAATCGATAAAAGATTGTATGCTAGTACAGAATACCTTCATTTATAATTTACCTGAAATCGAGGATGTTAAAACGAAATTTAAACTATCCTACGATATCATTCAAAAAACATCACCAGGAGATGATAAAAACTGTAAATCAGCTAAACTTGTCATGTGTTTACAATTAAATTCTAGAAAAGATGAAAAACCTATCAGTACAGGAATGTTATTGATACGTGTTGCTATGGTGACCGGTTGGGAACCAATTGTTGACCAGTTGAATTCCCAATTAGGCGCTGAAGATGATTCTTTGAAGATGCTGACTATCAATGATGAACAAAATGAAATTTCACTGTATTTTAATGAATTTTCTGAAGAAGAAGCTAACGAACTAGGTGATTGGGAACAATTGAAACGATGTGTTGATGTGCCAATCCATCAAGTGTATTATGTACAAAATGCTAAGAATGCAACAATAACAGCCTATGAATACTACACGCCAGAAGAAAGTATTACGGTCACTTATCGATTAGATGAGTGCAGAGAAGCCTGGCCTATGAATGAAATCCTGTCTACAACTGAAACACCATCAGTTACTTCAAGTGAATCAACAACCATAACTGATATTCCCTCGGAAGATCTACCACCCAAAGAGGAAACTCCATGTCCTGTATGTATAGACAAAGTTACTGATATGAAATTACTTCTAAATGACGTATTTAATTCTGTATGCCGACAATCCAATGGGATATATTTCTTAAAAGTTCATGAGGTACACGATAACACTATCAATGCGACAATAACTCATATCATACAATCGAATATCACAGTAACTTGGAATACAACTTTACAATTACCTGATTCAAATCAATGCCCTTGTCAATTAATCAAGACTCATCAAAATCTAGTTCTCCTTTTGAAAACATCTGCCGAAATTCCTCCAGGTGATGCTATAATCAATATTCAGGCATTGAATACACCTGTGAAATTTATATCTGACAATGAAATATTACCTATTCTCGAGGTAGCAGCTGACAAAAAATGGTCTGATAGTGAGAAGGTGATTATTCGCCAACTTATTAAACCTGATGAGTCAACTAGTACTCAGGATTGTAAACAATTACCTAAGCTTATTGAATTTATGAAGAAGTTTTATGGTTAAAAATTTTTTTATTCAACTCATGAATAAACATTAAAAAAAGATATTCAATTTTCATTTTATCTTTCTTTTTTTGAAAAAAAATTATTACAGATTCTTGTTTATATTTTAAGTTGTATCGCATGTTTTTGTTACCATGGTATCTTGGTCATTGAGGCGGTTTTTTTAATTCAAATACTTTCAGAGGTATTTAATTATGATTAATGCAGAAATTTTTATGAATTACATGAAATCGCTTACAACAATCATTAATTATTTAATTCATTCATTGATTAATTGTCTTCTAAAATGAAAAATGTTGATTAGAATATAAAATTTTGTGAAATACAATAAATACAGAATATTTTACTTCATCCATTTATTCTTATTGATGAATTTGAATAAAGCAAGAACAACAGTGGCGGTTTGTGCAGAATGAAGCTCCTTCATCTATTGATAATTTTAAAGGATTTCTCGATTTCCACCTCATGACCCGTCTCGAGGAGATGTCTGGTAATAGCGCTACTATAAGAGTTTGTTCCCTTGAGACGTAAACTTTTCGGGACATATTCAGAAAATCGGAGGTGTGCCATTCTTTCTGTTCTCCCAATGTAACTGCTTCCGCAGATACACGTAAATTTGTATACACAGTTGGGGTTAACATGAGAAAGGTATCTATCGACTTTTGACTGCACCAAAGAGCATGTTGTTTGATGGATGGGAACCAATTTAGCTGCAGTATAGGCTCTGTCTAGTGACGTCCTCAATCTTCTGTTGACCAGTGCTGCAATTTTTTCATTTTTAAAATCTAGTTGAATGGAAATAGGCTTTTTTCAACTGTGATTTGTTTGGTATTTGAGCCTTCACATCTTACATATTTGTTAATGAATCTTTTAGGATAACCGTTGTTTTTCAGCACCTTTTAGAGAATCGTAAATTCTTCCTCTAGTTTCTCTGCAGAGCATATTCTACTCGCTCTATAGTGCACAGTCATGACTAGTGCTCGTTTTTAGCTATTTGGACAAAAACTATTAAAATGTAAGTATTGTTCATTCCACGTGGGCTTTCGGTAAATTGACCTCTGGAGATTACATCTTCTAGGCGTTGCATAGCTATGTCAGGGAAATGGAACTTTCCATCATTTTCATGTTCCATAGTAAATACAATATTTGTATGTGCGTTGTTGAACAGTCTGAATAGGTAGGAGGCATGAATTTCGTTGTTGCATACTACAAATGTGTCATCGACATATCGATAATAGGAAGTCGTTTGATCAATTGGATGCTTCAAATTTGTTTTCTCAAGGTTTGACATGCAGATATCTGCTAAAACAGGGTTAAGTGGAATGCCCATAGCTACACCATCTATTTGTCGGTAAAGAGTGTTGTCAAACTGGAATTGTACACCCATGGTACACATTAGCAGTAGGCGTTTGAATTCTGGCTCTCGTAGTGGGAAAAGATCAGACTGTTGACAAATGATCTCAGTGGTTCCATTGATTGGGATCATTGTGAACAAGGAGGTTGCATCAAACGAAGCCATGAACTTATTTGAAACATTCATGTGATTCACGCTTTCGGAGAAATGAAATGAGTATTTTATGGTATGCACGGCTAACGGTCGGCGAATGGCTTCCAAATTCTCCACAAGCCGACGGGCAACCTTATGTTGGGGAGAGTTGATCATCGAAAGTATAGGTCTTAGAGGGACTACTTTCTTGTGTGTCTTTGGAAGGCCATGCATATATGGCAATCGGGACCCTCGGGGTTTCAATTCATTGTACGTATTGTTGTCAGTCGAATTCTTCCTTAGAAGATCTCAGTACGTTTGTGATGCGTTTTTCGGTTGCATCTGTCTTGTCTTTCTGGCAGTCGTCGACTTTGAACCTCAACAGACCATTCAGCACAGTTTTCATCCTTCCGATCTAGCCATCTTCATCCATCAGTACCACTCCTGAGCCTTTGTCAGGTTGCAGTATGACGATTTTGTCATTATAACTGTGAGATTTCAATGCTTTTTGGTGCTCTTCAGAGAGGATTTTGGAATATGTCGTTGGTGATATGAGGTATTGATTTGCAACGTCTACCTGCTTATATTTGAACCAGCTCTTCTTGTCCTCATCAACTGTCTATCTGTCTGGATTCAACATAGAACTTGGCACCGAAGTGCAGCAGTTCCAGTTGCCACGTTCCAAATAGCACACAGAGGTAGACAAGAAGATGAGTGAAGAGAATCAATACAGTCTGACAAGTATAAGAGTGAAACAGAATGGGTAATGGTAGAAAGGAATATGAAAGATTACAGAGACTGAATACATCTGCGCTGGCCATTGACAACGATTTTGAGCCATGTCACCTATTGTCTCCAGCCATTGATTCCTAGAGTCCCGAGGGCCCCAACCCGGGAGTCTGCATTCCCTCCCTACCTGACTCAGTTTAACTGTCATTGATTGATGAGGCCATGTTTTTGTTTGGCCACCACTTACTCTTTTCCAACCTGCACCCATATCAGGTAGTAATGCCCGTCGGGGGGGAGGCGATGGTTAGGCATGCGCAGCACCTGACCTAGCCATCTCAGTCTATGTAACTTTATAGTCTCTTCGGTTGATTTTCCCTCTTTGCCCAACACTCTACGCCTAACGTCAACATTACTTACCTTACTATACCACCACTAACGTGAGACAGAGATCGCAGACATCTATGATCGAAAGCAGTCAACCTTTTCATGTCTTCAACTCGTATTGGCCATGTTTCAGAGCCATAGAGAAGGACGGAGCGAACTGCTGAGCAGTACACACGTCCCTTGGTTGATAACCGGATGTCACGCCTACGCCAGAGATGGTGTAAGTCAGCGAAAGCAGCTCGAGCTTTTTGGATCCGTGCTGAGATTTCGTCGCCAAGCGGGAAGTTGACGTAGTCCAGTCCTGTAGCAGCATCTTACATTTTGTAGGGGCGAATCGCATGCCAAACATACGAAGATTGCTGCTCAAGGTGTTCAGAAGACTCTGCATTTTGTCAGCATCCTCCCCTAACAGGACTATGTCATCTGCATATTCTAAGTCCATAAGATTATTCCCTGGTAACAAGTCGATTCCTAAGTCATTACGTTCAGTTAAGGATACTTCCATCAGCATATCTATGATGAAGTTAAACAGAAATGGGGAAAGTGGACATCCCTGTCGGACACCACTGGTTGTTACCAATTCAGATGACAATTCCCCATAAGCCCTTACACGACTACGTGAGTTTGAATAGAGTGCCTTGATTAGTGCAATGTACTTTCTTGGCACTCCCTTCACAGTCAGACATTGCCATAGTACCTTTCGATCCACGGAGTCGAAGGCCGCCTTCAAGTCAAGAAATATGACAATTGTTGGACGCCGAAAAGTGTGTCTATGTTCTAGAATCTGTCGAAGAGTGAAGATATGATCTATGCACCCTCTACCTGGTCTAAAGCCTGCTTGATTTTCCCTTGTCTGTTCCTCCCGAGTTCTGCTTAGTCTATGCATGATTACTGAGCCTAGGATTTTAGAGACTATGTTCGTTAGGCTGATCCCCCTATGATTATCACACGAGGACTTGTTTCCCTTCTTGAATATCGGTATAATAAGTGACTTACCCCAGTCTGATGGAACTGTCTCTGATTCCCAGACTTTGCCTAGTACCTCAGTTAATCTACAAACTAGTATGTCACCCCCATATTTAAACACCTCCGGAATAATTCCGTCGGGTCCTGCCGCTTTGCCTCGTTTCAAATTACTGATAGCTTTTGTGACCTCACTTACAGACGGCGGACCAGTGTCTATATCCCATTCGGGTGTGTGTGGATGTCGGGGAGGTTCAGTGTGGCTGTAGGCAAGTTAAATTGTCCTCAAAGTGTTCTTTCCAGCGTTCAAGGCGTCTATCCTGAGAGCTAATTAAGGAGCCATTTTTCTCAGAAATAGTCTCACTTATGAATTGCCTTCTCCCACCCGTTTCTGTGATGAGTCTAAAGAGTTGCCTAGTGTTGCCTATCGCCGATGCTTTTTCCATCTCTTTCGCCTTTGTCACCCACCACTGTTCACGGTCCTTGCGGAGACTTTTAGTAAGTTTCCTTTTGTGCAGCTTTCGCTCCTCATTGAATTCGGAGCTCGCCGGAATAAGTCTTCTAGCATCTATCAGTTCGGATGAGGCAGTCGAAATCCAGTGGTTTTTACTCACCTTTGGATTTGCCTTATTCACAGCTTTTACAGCTGTATCTATAGCTGACTGAATATTCTTCCAGGCTTCTCCAGGGTGAGCACAGCTGTCGAACTCAGATATGCGTTTAGCTAGTTCTTCCTCAAATAGGGATTTAGTTTCCTGATCGAGCTGGGGACGTGATGGTTTTACCGCCAGCTGTTTCCTACGTCCGTTCAGTCGTAAGCACACACGAGCCCGGACCAGTGCGTGATCGGTATCTACACACGTGTTCCAGAAGGAGCGACAATCTCCTACCGACCCACGCCAACGATAGCTTATTGCTATGTGGTCTATTTGTGTCCAGCGTTGGTTTGATGATGGGGGTCGCCAGGTTAAACAGTGTCTCTCCTTGTGTTTAAAGTTAGTGCTTACAAGAAACAAATGATTATCTGAACAGAACTGTAGGAGACGGTCACCGTTGTCGGTTCGCTGGCACGGAACTCCATAGGTGCCACCGACATCCTTCTCAGATTGACACAATTTCCCTACTTGAGCGTTAAAGTCACCAGCTAGAACGACTATATCTGAGCGTTTAGCCTTTCTCACCAAACTAGACAGCTTTTGGTAGAACTCATCCTTCGTTTCATCCGAACTGCAGTCAGTGGGGGCGTAGGCGGAGATTACGAAAAGGCATCGGCGAGTAGTGCAGTCCTTTCTCCTTCTTACTGATCCGTTCAGACGGACAGCACACATTCGGCTGGAGTAAGGTCATTCAGCTGATAGAGGAGGTTTTCGAATTGAGCTGCGACATCGGTTCTTTTGACGAAGTTATTCGGGATATGGAAGTCAAGTCCGAGGGAAAGCACTTCCATTTCAATGTGGCTCAAATTCAGACTCGACAGATTATATACAAATTCCTCAGGATTTTCTGGGAAGACGTCATATATATTCTCTCCTTCGTCAGGGATTTCGCCAGAGTTTTATGAAAATTTCCACATGTTGAATGAAATTGATGAATTTGATCCGGCATACTATATTCAAACTATTGACGACACCATTAAAGGATTGGGCTCCAGTTCTCAATTTTGAAATCAGAGATTCTATTTATTCAATATGCGATTTCGTAATGCGTCGAAGGTTTTTGAGAGAAGGCGGTAATTCGCAAGTACGTAGTGACTTGATGAGATGGCTAGGAAAGCAGTGGGACTGTAAGCATTC